CCTCACTCCGACGTCGCCCGCCGCCTCCAACAAGCACCCTCGAGTCTCTACCTCCCCGGCTTCCCGAACAAGATGCTCCCCCGCGACCTCGAGCAGCAATTCTCGCTCGACCCGGGCCAGCCCACCCTGACCTTCAGCGCAAAGGTCAACGACCAGGGCCAGATCCTCGACCACAAAGTCGAGCCCGGCATCATCAAAAACGTCCTCCATGTCCCCAAAAACGAAGTCGCCGCAGTCCTGCCCGGCCTCCTCACCCAGCAACCCTCCACAGCCCCCTTCTCCGTCGGAACCCCGCCGCCCCCCTCCACACCAACAAAACAAATCACCAAAGCCTCCGCCCTCTCCCAAACCGACAGAGACAACCTCCTCCTCCTCAACCGCCTCTGCAAAGCCCTCAAACACCAGCGCGAAAAGAAGGGCCAGCTGCCCCCCTTCCAAGCCCGCTTCAACTCCCCCGAGGTCTCCCTCGCGCCCACCTCCGCCTACGGCGACCCGGAAATCCCCGGCTCCTCCATCACCTGGGTCGGCGACCCCTTCATCCGCTTCTCCGACCACGCCACCACCGAAGCCGACCGCCTCGTCGAGCGCCTCATGCACACCGCCGGCGAGGTCGCCGCCCGCTTCTGCGCCGAGCGCAAGATCCCCATCCCCTACAGCACCCAGCCGGAAGCCATCCGCAACAAGTCCGAGCTCGCCGCCTTCCGCAGGACGCAACTCGACCCCCTCACCCTCAAGGGCAAGCCCATCCCCGTCGAGACCCTCCACGCCCTCTTCGCCCTCGTCGGCACCTCCGAGCTCGCCATCGACCCGGCCCCCTTCTACTCCGTCGGTCTCGACGCCTACGCCAAATCCTCCAGCCCCCTGCGCCGCTACGCAGACCTCGTCGTCCACTGGCAGATCCACGCCGCCCTCGCCCGCGAGCGCGCCACCCAGTCCTCCCTCGCCGGCACAGACTGCTCCGAGGCCGACTTCCTCCCCTGGCGCCGCAGCACCCTCGCCCCCGTGCTGCCGATGCTGCAGGCCCAGCAGCGCCAGATCAAGCAGGTCGACAACAAGGACGGCCCGACGCAGTGGATCGCGCAGGCGCTCCTCCGCGCGTGGCGCTTCGGCGAGGCGCCCCTCCCCGCGACGTTTACGTTCATCGTCGACGGCCTGTACGCCTTCGGCCTGCGCGGGCGCCTGGCGAGCTTCTACAACCTCTCGGCGTCGATCGACCTGGCGCAGCTAAGCGGATTCGCCAAGATGGCCGAGATCAAGGTGGACGATCTGATCGAGGTAGAGATCAAGGACATCAACGTCGTGACGACGCAGATTTCGGTGCAGCCGCTGAGGAGGTTGACGATGGCGACGTCGCAGAAGCAGCCAGGGGTGATGGGTGCTGCTGCTCGCGTAGCTGTATGATGAGAGAAAAAGTTTGTAAATGAGAGGGAATCAATGGCCTCGTGTAAAATCATCTTTATAGCATAGACTCCCACATGTATGTACGACATACAACGACTGGCAGGAATGGGCTGCCTCGAGCAACGACTCAATTATACCACTTGATTTAAATGCAGCATTGGCGTGTAAAAGTTGGTATCATATTCGATCATTATCACAACAAAGCTAACACCCGCGATTTCCCATTGCTATGTTCTCCCATGCGAGCCATCGAAGCAAAACTCAACCAACAACTTCTGCCATGCCATGCTTAAAGCCCAGCAATGACGCTCTGGATACCAACACTACTGGCATCTTCGCGACGCTGGACAAAGGCCTTGAAGTCGGCCTTGGAGAGCTTCTTGCCCATACCGGCGGGTCCGGTGGCGAGCGTGCGAGACTTTTCTTTGAGAGCCTCAGGTCCAATAATGAACAGCGATCCAATGTCGGTCAGGAGCTCGACCGAGGCCTCGACATCGGCGGCAAGAGACCACTCCTTGATGGTGGAGACGTACTTTGACAGATCCTGCGCAACCATCAGACCTCCAGTGGCGTTGACCTGGAACTTCTTGAAATGGTCAAAGAGTAGAGCCAGCACGGCAAGCGCAACCTCGGAGCTCCAGACCTCCAAGTTCTGGCCGTCAACAGCCTGAGAGGCATGACGAGACACACTGGAAAGAAACTGGCTGATTTGCAGACAGGTTGGGGTCTGCAGGGAGTCAATATCTCCATCCCGGGGACGGAAATCAAACTTCTTCTGGTTCGCAAGCGAACGGGTGACCCAGTTGGTGACGACGTCGATGGAACTACGCATGACGGCGTTGGTCTTGCGCTCGATGCCGTCGATGGCGGATTTTGTCTGCGCTGACATGTTACGACGAACGGTCGTGTTTGACTCAGCCAGCTTGATAAGGACAGTAGTAATGAAGCGCTCCATTATACTGGTGATGGTAACCGCAGGGCGAATGGAGGGTAGGTAAGTGAGGTCCGGCTCCGTCTTGATGTTCTCCTGGGAGCTCGCCACGTCCAGGGCGGCGTCGAGAGCGGTCTCGACATAGACGCGGCCCATGGTAGTGAGCAGCAGGTTGAGTAATACGTTGACGTCCTTGGGTGTCTCGACTTGGGAGCCAAGCTCCAGCGTCCTGCGAACTGACTCGGCAAGCCACTTCATCATTCTCTTTGCGTTTGCCACACTAAGAACACCATCCTCCTCCGACACCTCTACTTCTTCCTTGTTCTCGTTGTCGCCTTGAATTCCCGCAACACGAAGCATCATAGCCTTCTGTGTGGCCGTCAATTCAGACGAATCGAGACGCTCAAGGTATGCGTCCTTGGCCGATGACAAGAGCTGCGAACTCTGTTGCGCCAGGGATGCCATGAAACCCGTAGGCGCCTTCTTCCTCTTGGAGTGGTAGGTTGTGAACTTGAATAGCAACGAACTGTACAACTCCTCAAGACTCTTTCTCTCGCGGTCAATGTACGAATTGCCTACAAGGTAAGGAACAAAAAGTTCCTCCATCTGTTGGTCTAGTGTTTGAGAAATTTGTGGAGAGGCTGGCTCTGGGTGCTCTGTCAGACCATGAGTCTTGAGATCCTCGATGAGACTGCTGATGTATGTCCTCGAAGAATGCAGCGATCTCAAGAAGGCCAGCGAAGAGACCTCATTGGCTTTGTCCAAGACCATCTCGAGTCGTTGCTGAATGGACTGCTGGAACACTCTCTGGATGAACTTGATCAAGACCGTCTCGTAGTATGGGAAAGCCCTCTTGATGATGAAGGATTCCTCCTGCATAACCAACTTGACTTCGTCAACGAGAGACTGCAGACTTGGCTCGACTCCGGGTGGATCTGAATCTGGGTCGGCAATCTGTTCCCACGTCTCTCCATCCATCATCACCTCGTCCGAGAGCAGTTGGTCCCTGTCGATAAAGAACTGGTGTTGGTTGACGAAAGTAGCAATGACGCTGGCACCGCCGTTGAAGTCGTACAGCACCTTTGAACACTCCATCATGTCGTCGAAGTTTTGACGCCTGTAGCTGTTGTTGAACTGCTTCAGCAGCTCCTGCTCGAGGGATTCTGAGAATTTCTCCAGCAACTCTCGTGTATTATGAGCGCGGCTCGTTCCCGTGACGCCGTTGGTTACGCCGTTCCCTCGGAATCCATTCGTCCCATTTGTCTGGCCCCATGATGCCGGATCCAAGCGCTGGCTGATGCGCATGAGCTGCCTAGAAATGACGGCACATCGCACCTTGTTCTCAGCGCCGCCCTGCCTCTGAATCTCCTCCAGCGACGTCAGCTGGCCGGTCTCGCTGACCTCGAGCCAGCATTGGATGAGGAAGTTGGCGTCCTGGGCACGTCTTCGTTTCCTGTCCAGTTCTTCCAGTTTCTCTCCAATCTGTACGGCGATATTGCCTCCTGCTTCTTGCCTCGCGCTTCGGTCGCCGTTCGTCGCGGGGTTATTTAGGGACAGATCGAGCGCCTCAAAGGACGCCATGGACTGGTCGAGCTTTCTGCCGAGGGTATCGAGGGTCTGGTCATGCTGGGATTCGGCTCGTCGCACGTTGGATTGAAGTTCCGATTCCTTCTCCTGGAGTTCCTCGGACAGCGATCCAAGCTGCGAAAGGGCGTCTAGAAACGGTCAGCGATTAGTCTGCGCAGAGGCTCGAGGTTTCGTACTCTCAAACGTTCGAATGAGCGGCTTTGGGTCGAAGGCAGGCTGTGACGGGCCAGATCTTCGATTGGCAGGTACGGCGTTCTCGGCGAGGTTGTCGACGAACTCGCGAACCACAAAGTCCTGGTTGGAGAAATCGTCGAGGGTGAAGCTGGGCCCTTGGGGAAAGAGCGACTTTGCCCCAGACGCAGCCCGCTCCATGGTTGCGGTCGGGCTGGAAGTGCTGTCGTTTCTTGTGTTGGTTCGATTGGTGACAGCCCGCTACATCATTCTCGATGATCTTCGAGTCGTAGAAGAGGTGCTCCAGCAGCTGGATTAATCGTGGTCAGCGAAGGCCGAGTCCAGGTCGTTGGGATTCGATGTTTCCGCGTTTCGGGAGCACGTTATCCGCGTGGCCGTTCAAGCAGTGACGACCGAGCTGTCCCTTGGATCCGCTTTGGGTTAGCGCAAGTGATCCAAAGTCACTTCTCCGCCATTGTTGGCCCGTGTGCACTTTGAGATCGAGCTTGCACGTGATACTACGAAGCACGGAGGTCATATTGGGTGCTCCCTGAGCAACACCACCTCCTGACGTCGCAGCTATAACGAACACAGAAATGACCATCTAAACGCATTGGAGGTCTCCAGAAGGCCTCAAGTGAGGAAATCGCGAGTCAAATTCAAGGACTATCTGCCTAGAAGCCAAAGCAACTCGCTGCGAGCTATGTGTCTGCTCTGTCTGCATCCCGTTCCCTTCTGCCTTCCTCTCCTTCTCAAATAGAGCATAAATCATGCGCGTTTCCCGATCTGCCGCGCTCGCAAGTGCCGAGTTCTCTATCCTTCACACCATATACCAAAGGCTTCGTATGGTCCTGAACTCTTGTGTCTCTTCTCCATATTCGAATTGTTTCCCTGAGGCGGCCGTCAATTCTCAAGCTGCGTTCAAGAGCTGGAGCACGGCAAGTGAATCCGGGTCCTTGGGAGAGCCTGGTCCAGTGACCAGAGACTCTGGGTCGCTGAGGTGCGAGTCGGAGTTGGGTGTGCCAGGAGGGGTGCCTGGACCACTAGGCTTGACTTCGACGGTGCTTGGCTCAGCAATGTGGGAGTTCGCACCATGGAAATCGTCTGGAGCAGGGCGAGAGCTCGAGCCGAGGCTTTCGCCTTCGGCATGTTGATGGCTTGGGGTGCCAGCACTATCTCCAGTAGATCCGGCTGCTGCCAGACCTCCATTCGAGCTGGCAAACGAACCAGAGCCATCGATCTCGGTCTCTGGCAAATCATTGGCATCGTCATCATCGTCAACCAATTGCCGCAGCCTCTTGAACGGACGGGCCGCTTCTTGCACGTTGGAGGTCTGTTCTCTCAGCCTCTTAACCCATCGCTCAACGATTGCAGCGCCTGTGGTGTGCGTGCCTTCGCCAAGACTTGCCGCGAGTCGGCAGTTCTCCGCGTGAACGACGAGCTGTCTGTCCATGTTGTCGATGACTCCCGAAAGGAAGTCTTGGATCCTGTCCCGGGGGGTAGCTTCCTTCGACTGAGATAGAGCACCAACCTCCTTCCGAACCATCTCGAAGGCGAGGAACACCTTCCTCTTCAACTCCGGCTCCTCAGCATATCTCGCGTCGCAAAGGTACGCAAGCGTCAGGAGAAAGTCTTGAATTATGTCCCAGCTCAGTACGACAACGCCCTCCGTGTCGCTGCTCAACGCGATGGATGCAACATGAACGAGAAAGTGGTTCAAATTCGTCAATGATTCCCGTCTCAAGAACGGATAGAGACCCTGTAGGTGATGTGTCAGTGGGCCCGGTACCAAAACACTATGTTGTGCAGTCTTGGAAGGGTAACCTACGAAGAACTCATCCACCGCCAACTTTGCATGCCGTTTCTTGAGTCTCTTCTTGCGAATGAAAGCGTCGAGGTAGGTAGAGCTCGGGAAGACGGGAAACTCGACTTTCGTCAGTTTTCCGACCTCGTCTCTGATCTCATTGTACAGTTTGAGAGTCATCTTCGAACGCAACTCTGCAAGCCCAGCTCTGAGTTTCGCGATTTGGCTCGCGTCGATAGGGTTGAGAGCAGATACAGGAGCAGTAGAAGCATTGTGCAGGGTCTGGAAACCCAGCGAGTTCCCGGCACCAACCCCGGCGCCAACCCCGGCGCCAATACCGGCACCGGCAACCGCAGAGTTGCTGGTTCCGGGCATGCGCACACCTGACTTGGACTTGAACTTGGCCTTGCCAGACTTCTGTTTTGCCGACTTGTTTGCTTTTTCCTTGTCCTTGCTGCCCCCGTTGCCGTCGTCTTCGTCGTCCTGCTCGCCGTCGTCGTCGCTGTCGCCTTCGTTCTTCCTGCCAGCGATTCCCAGGATTGATGCTTTCCAAGCGCCAATTCGTTTGTTCGGGTCAGTGATGTCGTCAGCCTGGTCTCGAAATTCGGGGAAGAAGTAGATCGACTTCGTGGCACCAGTTATCTGAAAGGCCTTGCAGATACCAGTCATCGGATCCGGTTCAGCAAGAGCAAAATAGTCCAATCGCTTCCTGACATTCGTAGGGAAGATGGCTTTGAGAGCCGTGGGGCAGTTTCGCGAGACTGCCACGGCCTCTGACTGATCTTTCGAGGCCTTCTGCTCAACGAGATCGCTAATGGAAAGGCTCCGCGTTGCCATGTGAGGCTCGGTGGAAGGCTCCAGAGGCAGGTACCACCCTACCCACAAGCCAAGGCGCGCTCGAGGGTTGTTGTTGTCTAGCTCTTGGGGGGTCGGGAGATTTGTGGTTCCTCTTGCCGTTCCATCCTTCAAACTCTCGATAAGGGCGGCCCGCGTGGCCATGCGGGTTTCATATGAAGAGAACAGAAGTTTCTGGTTCGGTTGACGCCCCTCGCCGAGTCCGTCATCGTACGCCTGGAGGTTTGCCTTCCACGACCACTTCCGTGAGAACTCCGGTTGAACAGCCATTGTGAAGAGGTGGACAGGAAGACTGCTGGGATGACAATGTCGAAAAAGTAGCAGCGACGGAGTTGATGTATGAGTAGTTACACGTGGGATGATTTGAGTATCCTAAGGGTATCTTGCCAAACTTGGTATGACACACGACCCGTGACTGCTTTCGCAGTAATACTCAGATGAGGGTGTGGGTGCTCTTGGCGAGTTGGGAGCTGTGAGACTGAGTGGGCTGTGTGTTTAAATAGACAAATACCGGCCTGAGCAGGAGTCGATCTCAAACAGAAGGAGGGCGCCTTCTAGAAACGATACGACGATAAGATGGAAGAAGGCAAGAGAGACACGGGGAAGGAAAGGAAGTTAAATAAATTCACAAGGACGATATGGTAATGAAGGAGATGGGAAGCGCAGCACGCCAAAGTAACGTCGAGTGGAAAGTGGCGATGGCAGCTTATGTCTGCAAGTCTCTACTGCCCGACTATCAGACGCGTACAGAGGCCCACCTGTCCTCTCTAGCTCTACTCCTTCCGCTTCAACTTGCGAGGCAGGTTCAGCCTCCGTCCTTCCAATCTTCACTCCTGGACTCGGGAGGCAGCAACTCGCACATTCACATCCTCCCCCGGCTTGAAACAAATACCCATCCCCTCCCCTTGATCAGCCAACTTCCCCTCCTATTCAGCCCACAATACCTTGCTATCCAACCACCGCTACTCTGAGAGGTACACTATACATTTCCTTCGTTCAATTCATACCTTGCATACTATCAAAAGCAAGTTCTTCTACACGCCGAAGAAGACACAATCTCCGTCAAACAGCATGCCACCCAAGAGAAAAAGCCTCCCACGGGCTGCCAAAAAGTCCGTTGACTTGGAAGAGGATGCGGGGAGGAGTGCCACAGAGCCAATGCATCTCGGCGAGGCAGGCACTAAAGTCGCAATGACCAGAGGAAAGAAGACCAGAGGAAGCAAGGCCAGAGGAAACACAACCAGAGGAAACACAACCAGAGGAAACAAAACCAGAGGAAATCAGACCAGGGGAAATCAGACCAGGGGAAACCAGACCATAGGGAACAAGGGGTCCAGGCATGATTCGAAGACCCCGTTGGACGAGATCCACGTTTCAAGCGGAGGTTCGCCAGGTGCGTCCAACAAGAAGCAGGCCGTCGATTCTCCTCCCCAGATCGCCACTCCTCCCCGCTCCTCGGAACCTCCTTCTGTTCCTTCCGTATTGGAATTCTTGGTTAGAGGAGACCGCGAAAAGCGCATCTCCTCGGACGAGCGAGCCAGAAGACGTCAGATCCAGAACGACATCGACTGGCTGGGCAAGTGGCTCCTAGAGTATGCTTACCTCCAAATAAAGAAGGATCAGGGACTTTATCCCGAAGGGCCGGTCGAGTTGGCGAATGATTTATATACCTCTAGTTTTTGGTGGCGCGAAGCCATTCGTACTATCTCCAAAGAGGACGTTATGGAGCAGTTTCGTGTGCTCGAAAGGCAATTACACGAAGCTCCCGATAAGGTGTTTGTGCAAGCCATGTTTGGTTGGACCAGCTACCAGATGTGGAAGGATGGTTGCAACATTCAGCTCATAAAGGGTCAGGCTGGGATCTGGAGCCACGTGCAAGGCATGGATATCGAGGATGAGTATTGGAAGATGCTTCGACAGGGGCTCCGTGAGTAGTAAACACCTTTGCACCCAGCTCGGCTCCCGGGTCCTCAACAAACCAGTGTTTGTTATCCTTGTTTGCGACGTCAGGCTTTCGATTGTAGAGCAGAGAAGACGGGACAGAGGGCATGAGGTCCTCCTATAGATATTGGTTTCCATAACAAAAAGATACTCACACGACCCTTCTACTCTCTCTGGTCCCCCAGTGATGCTCTCCTCGTCTCGGTTGATGGTGTTTGATAGAAGATGAACCCGTTCACAGGTTACATCTTTCTCATCGGTCGAAGCCCTGGCGAAGAAAGCCCGACTGGGATAAGTGACGGAGCCGGCTAACGTCGCCGCCTCCTGACCTACCTGAACATGCTGCGCGGGAGGTGATTAGCTGGAAGACGCCCAATCTAAGGGGTAGTAACAGTGGGCATGAGTTCAGCCTTAGGTTTTTGAACCCCGCCCTCCGCAGTGTTTCTCCCACGGTGCGCCCAAAGGCCAGCTTTGACGTCGAGCAACAGGGCATCAGCAGCCTCCCTATCACAACACGCCCTGGGTGCCAGCATTCGTCAGCGTATCATGCTTAACAGGATCGATCCAAACCGATGGCGGTAGGGCAGACACGGCGCGAGCCTGGCCTTAGACGTCCTTAGCTTTGACTTCAGCCGGCATGGACCAAACCTCAATGGAACGGGCGCCCACAAGGCGACGTCAACTAGTCATACTACACCACCCTTCCCCACAATGACAATCACAGCAGAAGTCACTCAAGTCCAAGGTCATGTTTCGACTTGACAAGCCATCGATTGAACAGCCCTACAAGCAGTTGATAGAAATAATACAATAATGCCACCCCCCTTTTTCATCTTCATCAAGAGTAGCAGGTAGTTTCAACAACCAGACCGGGTCGAACAACAACCCCCTTCAACTTCCTTCCACCCCCTCTTCCCTTTCCCTTCCAAATGTCAACCTCCACCTTCCCCTCTTTCATCTTTCCACCAAATGGAGTGGGGGAATGAAGTGACAGAAACCATCAAAAAAGCCCCTAGAAGTGATGAACAACTTCCTCTCCTCCAACACCCCTTCTCCTAAACACCCTTGAGGTGTATTGTGTGACAAAAAATTGATAATTACATTGCCAAATACCAGAAAAAGACAAACTTCAACAAGCGACGTTGCTGGGAATCCTTTTTGTGGCTTGGACGTGTGTTGATGGAGTTCTCTGCGATATTGGTATCACGGAAATGACTGACTGCGAAGGGAACGACCTGTCCCGGGTCTCGCTCTAAAAACAGGAATGTACAGAAGAGAGATGCTAGAAGCGAAGAAGAAAAAGCAAGAGATGGAAGAGAAAAACATGTGGAGGAAAATCGGGAAAAGAGGATGGAAAAAGAGAAGAATTGTGGGAAGCCATGTTCACGAGCGGATGAAGAGAATTACGCCGCCCGAGGAAACATGCCATGCCTACGGTCGTGCGAGAGTGTGTGAGAGTGAGAGCGAGAGTGAGGTGGTGTGATGCGAGTGTGTAGTAGTAATGGAAATAATGTGCGCGGCGGATAGTTTAGGTAGGCGATAGTGTGATAGTAAGGGCACGCCAAGTATGTGTGTTCGTCTCTACGAGACATATGTGTGGTAATATTGGGATTGTAACGAGTGGTGGACTTTTGAGTGCTCTAAGCCGTCTATGCTGAATGGAGGCCCCCGCCGAAAACGATGCTCCGGAAAAGACCTGGGTATAAAAGTGGAAGGACGGATCATGATTGGGATGTCGTGAAGGCGCCATGGCCGAGAACGGAGCTCGGAGAGGTTGCGCAGAGGCGATTAGTGTCTCGTCACCGCCATGACTTCAAGTGAATCGCCGGCTATACCTAGCGTTGATTTTGCTTGGCCTTGTTGATCTCGCCGAGGTTCAGCCAGCTCATGTCTGACGACGTTGAAGCCATGGCAAGCGGGGGCTGCTGGCTTACACCACTCGGATGACCCTGGCCTGGTTGCCTTGACGGGATGCTTGGTGCCAGAGACGTCGGGTAGAGGCTCTCAGCGTAGACACTGCTCGGGGCACGATCCGCACCCCACGGCTTCTTGTAGCTGCCAATGGGGTCCCAGGTATCACGGACGCTCTCAGGAATGCCACTTGAGTAGCCAGATGAGGCGTCCGAGGTAGGTCGTCGGGGTGATTCGATCTTGGCGGAAACTCCGTCTCTGAAGGGGATCTGGTTTGAGTAGTCCGAGACAGTCGGGCTGCCTGAGACCACGCGGTTGAGCTCCGGCCGGCCATCGTGCCGAATGGGCGGTACGGTGGACAGATCCTGGGTGATGAGGTGAAGAGGTGGGACGGTGGCAGAGTCCTGAGTAATCCGGTTCTTGTTCGAGTAGTGAGAGGTTTCCGAGTCGACGGTGGTCCGCTTCGAGTTGCCGAATCCGAGGATATTGAGAGCACTGCCCCCAGACCAGTATCGGTTCCAGCCTGAGCTTCTGCGAGTCTCACCAGGACGTCCCATTTGGTTTCCACGTGTTGTGGGGCGGGGCTCAACCGTGTCAGCGGCGAAAGAGACGCCCTTCTCGTCACGGGAAGGCGGTGCCAGGTTGGGAACCTCGTTGACCTGCGGCATGGGCTTGCTGATGGTGCTCTTGAAAAAGCTGTTCGTAGAGCCACGCTTAAAGTCGTTGCTAGGGCCGCGAGGAGCGACGTTAGCGTTGGACTTGGGACCATTGGCCTTGCCCATCAAGATGGCCATGGAGGAGAAGGATCCAGCCGAATCAGACTGCTGGTGTCCTCGGAAACCGGGCGCGGGACCAAAGTCGTTGTTACCGTAACCGAGTCCAGCCTTCTCGTCGGGGAAGCCTCGTTGGCCGTGCTCGGGGTTGGGCTGATTCTTCGCACGACGACGGCGGATGCAGAAAAGAATCAAGCCCAGGAGAATCATGATACCGGTGATAGTTCCAAGGACAATACCAAGGATGGCGTTGGCACTGACAGGGGCGCCAACAGCGGGAGCAGCAGTCTCCGAAGACGCAGAGGATGAAGCAGAGGCGGAGGCAGAAGCAGGGGCAGTAATGGCGGAGGAGGCACTAGAGATTGCGCTCGACGAAGACTTTGAAGAGCTGCTGCTGCTTGAGGTGGCAGTGGAGGTCGACGAGGCACTTGTGCTGCTAGACGTCTCGCTGGTAATGAGCACAGACTGCTCGCTCAACTTCTGGTTGGCGTCTGTCCAGCTGTTTTCGCGCGCATTGAACATGCACAAAACATCGTTCGTGTTGCCTCCGGCAAAGACGACAAGACCGGTAGAGTCAGACGCGAGGGCGTAGTTGGCGCGGGTTCCCGTGGGCGCGAGGGTGCTGTTGTAGGCAGGCCAGTCTGCCAGAGTCAAATCGCGCTTCGCCATCTCAGCCGCCGTCCGTGTCGTCTTCTTCGACACCGCGGCGGAGTTGGCAACAGGTGCTCCCGAAGCATCGATAAGGACCATACGCTGGACCTCGTTCGGTGAGGTCGACAGGTCGAAGGTATACAAGCTCTTGCTTCCATCATCTCCCTTCATAAGCATCGCCCTGATCGCCGTAGTATCCTTCAAGATCGGTGAAGCGAGAGTCGCGCCAGAGTCCGTCCACAGAGTGTCCGGGTTAAAAAGCATGACTTTTGAGTTGGTGGTGCTGCCGCCAACCACGACCGCCTGGGTGTCGGACCAGGTGAGCACAATCGGGTTCACGACGGGTGGTGCTGTAGATTCGTAGGCGCGGGTGTGGTAAGGTGCGGAGGCGCCAACGACAAAGGTCTGCGTCGAGGGCCCGGAATAACCATCTTGACTGCCGCCGTAGATGATAATCTGATCAGTGCCGGGAAGATAGGTTGCGCCGTGAAGCAGACGCTCCTGCGTTACCGCGTCCTGTGGTTGGATTGACTCCCACTTTCCGGTCGCGAACGTGTACTTCTGCAGTCCCCGGTAGTCCGTCGATGTTCCCTTACCTCCAACAATGTACAAGCCAGCCTGGCTGGCGTCCGTGGGATTTGAGCCGACACATACACCTCCTGTGACCTTTTCGCCCTGAGTCAAAGTCTTCCATTTCGCTCCCTCGGTGAGCGAAAGTGATTGGAAAGCGTCTGCGGAATACGTGTACAGAACATTGTCGTGGATAACTGAGCAGATGTTGTTCAGGGCGACGGGGGGCTCGGGGAGAGTCATCGTGTCCGTGTGTCGGGGGGTGAGGTTGTGTTAGATGAGATGTGGTCGTGAGTGTAGGTGAGAAGATGACGTGAATCGTTCACTCTACAACAACATGGCGCGAATATCTCAAAACTAGATTCGTGTAAAAATAAGATGGAGACCTCGTATCGAAAACGGCTTCGTCACGAGGGGTCGTCTTGTCGATGGGTGAGATGCTGAGGTCCAGGTGAGGGCTGCACACAAGCGAGGGCCGTCGAGGCTTCGAACCGGAGTTCAATCGTTCGCGATTTCGAAGTGAAGTTGATCGGTCGGTCCCAAGCTCGCAGGACGTGATGCCGATGATGAAAATCGAGGAGCGGTCCCAAGGGAGGAAGAAACAGTGTCCTGAAATTTGTCGTGGACGGGAAGCGTTGCCCTTGTCTCGGAGTTTGATCTGCAGAACAAAGTTTCTGGTGCTTCTTTCGCGGGCCAGTGCTAGAGCGGCAGGCAGGAAGCAGCAGGAAGAGAGGCCCAGACGGCTGGGTTGGAAGAGAAACAAAAAAGGCTTCTGGCTCTCCTGAGTCCTGAAGGCCTTTGTGTCGCAGGATTTTGGGGGTGGCCAAGCGGAGACGTGTTCGTCGTTGGTCGGATTCGTATGTTGGAGGTGGTGTCGTGGGTAGGTCGTATCGCCCCTGGGCTATTACTGTCGCTCGTGTCGGTCGGTTTGGTCGGTAGGAGAAGATAGGGGAGGCAGTGACGGACGTATGTAGGCATGCGTCGAGTATGTTGCCGCGTCACGGAATCGAAGAAAGGCTTACAATGAACGACTCTTGTTTTTTCCTTTGCGAGATTCAACGTTCCAGACGATGAGTAGCAATTCCACCT